TGTGAAAATTCTTTGTGAAGTCCTCGTACATATAATCACCTCGTTTCAAAAATTATTCCAAAAAAGTCAAAAGCAGTTAAGTATGTCCAAAACTCAAACGAGTATTCCGATTTCAAGAATGACGTTTACAGATGGATCACCATCTTGGTGGCGTATAAACAATAAAATTTCACTTCGGTTAAACATGTAAACAAAAATTAACATATAAGAGTTTAAGTTATTTCTCTTAACAAGATTGATGATCTTTTAGATGGAAATTCAAAATTGAATATCTTTCTGCCATTCATTTATTAATAATTGTGCATACGTTAGCCTTTTGATGTGAAAGATGAACTTAGCATGCATGTGAGGAGTCGCGTTGAGGATAAGAAATAAATGAATGCATGTGCCTTTCACTGCCAATTGCTTCACATGACAATTCAGTAGTGTCACACCTTTGTACATTTGGGGTAAGCTTAAAGGCAATTCAAATTACTTTTATTTAAACTTTTATTTGACTATGGTCCATTATAATTGTACATAAAAAGTTGATCTTGTCACAAAAGTAAGAATTATTTTTGAAGTAAGTGACTTATTTGTTTTTATCTTTAACTAATGGACGAAATAAAAAAAAGTAAAGCTTAGCCTAACTTTCTAAGTAAATATTGATGCGCGTTGATTAGGTTTACAACTGGTTAGGTTTAGTTTCATTGATTATGAAACGTGAATGTTAAGAATGTTCTCCTGCCGTACACAAGCTGATTCTTTTTGCAATTAGGCAAAGGCTCTTTTTGACAAGCTTTTGTTTTTACTTCTAGTTAGTCATGGCAAACGGGTCGAACGGCTCGTCAGCTTGGCTCGTGGGCAGCTCGTCATTTAATGTTCTCTTGCCGTACACAAGTTGGTTCTTTTTGCAATTGGGCTAAGGCTCTTTTTGACAAGTTTCTGTTTTTACTTCTAGTTAGTGGTGATAAACGGGTTGAGTGGCTCGTCGGCTCGGCTCATGGGCGACTCGTCAAATGATGAGCCTGAGCCGAGCATGCTAACTCGCAAGCTGAGTGGCTCGTGGGTTGGACGAGCTCGCAAGCCGAAGCTTGGCTCAGCCCACGAGCCACAATCTCACGGGGTAACGAGCCGAGCAGAAGCTTGGCTTGTTATAAACGAGCCACGAGCTCAGCTCATGCAAGCTTGTGTGCATACTGGCTTGGCCCGGCCCTACCCATTGCCATCTCTACTTATAGTTCTCGTAGACTAGCTTCCTCTAAAACTCTTTTAATCCGACAAAGTAATTTTTAAAAAAATTATTCCATTATACGTTAAAGCAACTTATTAGTCTTTCAAACAATTTTTGACCTTTCAAAAAACTGTCAAATGGGTCCTCGGATTAGAAAGAAAGGCTTAACTAGTACATGTTTGGTGAAGAAATTCAAAATCTTACTCTGTATATGCATAAAATGGCTACTTTTTGTTGGATTTTGTGACCCAAATTAGGTTGAAATATATTTTTCTTTCTTTGCACATATTTGAAAAAATATTATTTCCTTTATTTCATATGTATTGGAAAAATATTGGCAAAATTTTCACGTGATTTGTTTTTACCTTGTTTCTATCTTATATTTGGACATCTTCCCTATAAATAGTAGACTTTTCATTCAGTTTTTGTGAGCAAAATAGCTGAAATTGTATTTTTCTCTCCATTGATTGTTTCATAAAATATGGGCTTCTCTGTCAATTTTTTTCTTTACTTTAAATCTTGTTCTTGTTTGTCGAGCGATCAATACTTCATATTGCTCCATTGATCTCTTCCAATTTTTCACAACACGTGGGTTCAAATGGTCCCAACAAGTGGTATCTGAGCTACAAGTTGTTGAATTTATTTGAGATTTCTAATTTCGATGGCTGTCATGAAGTATGACATTCCGCTTTTGGATCACAACACAAGGTTTTCTCTGTGGCAAGTAAAGATGAAAGTAATTCTGGTTCATATGGATTTGGACGATGCTCTGTTTGGTTTTAATAAAATGCCAACAACTTGGACAACAGATAAGAAACAATGGAAGGATCGGAAGGCGCTATCTATGATTCATCTTCATCTTTCTAACAACATTCTTTAGGACGTGGTTAAGGAGAAATCAGTGGTTGCATTGTGGTTAAAACTAGAGCAATTGTGCATGACGGAGATATTGACGAGTAAGTTGCATCTGAAGCAAATGCTTTATTCTCTTCGCATGACAGAAGGGAGTTCTTTGGAGAACCATCTGGCCATGTTCAAGGAAATCGTCGCTGATCGAAAACGTTAGAAGTCAAGTATGATGAAGAGATCCAATTCGGTACAGTACCTTTCGTGTTGGGCTCTTAGTCATTTGCTAGGGGAGGATTCATGGAGCATAGGTGGTTCCAGATGTGTGTGATCATGCTTTCGGAGTGTTTGAAGGTGATAGTTCTAGCAAGGGGCCTTCAGTTCAAGCATTTTGTGTGGATTCTGCTACAGGGTGTGCTTCGACCCTGTTTGGTATTTATTGAATTTTTGTTGGAATTTTGGGAACTGATTGAGGTTGAGTTCGGTTGTCACTTGTGGACACTGGGCAAAGATGATTTTTTCGTGAGGTGGAGAGTTTTGATACTGAAAAAAGAGATTGGTTTATTCTAATGCAGTCGTGGTTATTTTTCAGATGGAGAAATTTTGAAGTTTTGTTTGTTGCACCGAAATTTGTGTCATGGTGGAGATTGTTGGATTTTGTGACCCAAATTAGGCTGAAATTTTTGGGAATATATTTTTCATTCTTTGCACGTATTTGAAAAAATATTATTTCATTTATTTCACGTGTTTTATTAAAAAAATATTGAGAAAATATTGTTTCCTTTATTTTACATGATTTTTTTTATATTGTTTCCATCTTGGGTTTGGATATCTTCCTTATAAATAGTAGACTCTTCATTTAATTTTTGTGAGCAGAAATTGCTGAAATTGTATTTTCTCTTCAATGGTTGTTTAATAAAATATCAGTTCCTCTTAGTGGTGGCAATTGAGCCGAGCCGGCTCGTTGCCACCGAGCCACGAGTCGCTCGGGCTCTTCAAAAGACGAGCCCGAGCACGAGCCGAGCCCGACTCAGCTCGTTTTTTCACGAGCGGCTCGTGGGCACGTGAAAAACACTAAAAAAAAAATGACGAGACATCTCTAGTTCCTCTGCCAATTTTTTTATTTTCTTTACTTTAAATCTTGTTCTTGTTTCGTGAGCGATCAATACTTCATATTGTTCCATTAATCTCTTTCGATTTTTCACAACATATGGGTTCAAAGGGTCCCAACACTTTTGACTGGTATTGAATGCTAAGAGCACCGTATGAAAGAGTGCACAATAAATAAATATGAACATGATAAGATTGACTTATGACCATTTAATTCAGCCTTACATTTCCTTTGTTAATGCAATAAATTTGGTCAATTAATCAACCCCGTTTGCTTAGGGTCGAGCATTTTGATCTAGAATCGTGTGAATTGCACTAGAATCAAATCTAATTAGTTAGTTCGATTCCCTTTTCTAGTTAAAATTGATTCAATTTTATATCTTACTGTCAAGAAGTTAATAGTTCTAATCCGGTTATGGGTTATGTCTACACAATGGAGTTCTAATTCGGTTGCAAAGTAAGGTTGTTGTTCTTATTGTTGTTGTTTTGTTATTCGTTATTCGTTATTCGTTATTCGTTTTTTTTTTTTTTTT